AAAGTATATTTACATATATTTATATGTATATGTATATGTATATAAAAATATAAATATATGTAAATATACTTTATTTTTTTATTGATTTTTTCAGAAAATAATAATTTTTTAAAATAAACGGGTACCATATGGTATACTCTTTTACTAGACTGAAACACTTCACTGCGTTCGCCGCGTCGCACATGCGCGAAAAACCGGGCCAAATCTGGCTACACTGCAACGCATATCACTCCTGCTCTCGCTACGTGTTATTTTTTATTGCCATGCGATCCTCGTTGTTGTCATGTTTAGAGTGTACAGCCCACGATCTAGCTACGCGCAACGCGCGATTATTCGTCAATCCCTTTTAATTAATATCTCAATTACTATTGCGAAAATTGCAAAACGGTAAAGGACTTTTCTATTCAGTTTACCGCACTCTATTCGCACACGAGCGTTGGCACGGACATTATGAAACACCCTATATATGTAATATTGGATAATAAATTCAATTATACTTTTTATTACTTAAATAACATCCATTTTTATTGACAAAGTTGAAAGACCACATGAGACATATGCAAATCCAATAGCGAATAGCACGCACAGACAGATCATCACACAGATCGCACGACTTGACGCTAAAACTGAAAAAATCCAGCCTTCTTTTTCTTGACTTAGCGTCAACTCGAAGTCACGTGACTATGGGCAATGCTGAAACGAGCATCCCATGAATTTACACTTTTATTGTCCTTTAAATAGTATAAGCTTGGTATAAAAGTTTCTTATTATCACTTGCGCTTATGCTATTACATGCATACTTAATTCTTACATTAAGATAATCTTCGACGATCGACTTTAACAATAGATTTATATGATTTTCTAATGAGTGATTGTCCAGCACATAACTCTGCAATTTTCTAAATATAGTAATATGCAAAAATTTCGCCATTATACGTTGTATTAGCTTGTCTTTCTTTATTATATATAAGTTATATTGATCATAAGATTCTCTCCTAAAAACTTTTTGCATACAATACAAATTTTTATAACATTGTCGCTAGGATATGCTAAACATCCACTATCCTTAAGTTTTATTAAACTAGCCATCAAATTTTCCTGTAGGCCAAACAAGGCACCAATACGAGATTCGCACGCAAGTGACTTAGCTGATTTATGTGATACAAAGCCCGCAATATAAATAATTATTTAGTAATTATTGTGAATCTACAATTTCACAATACTATACATATGATAGATCATAAACTCCAAGATAAAATTCTCATTATTATTGGTAATAATAACTATTGATAAATATTAACCGATGAAACGTTATCCCGTAATGTCGAGCTGCTGCAGTTATACCGCAAGCTTGGCAATACAACAACCTCACACTTATTTATAATAAACAGTTTTGTCTGTTGTACACAAGATTGAACAGGACACAGTAAAACAAAGGACGCGACAATGCATACGCTAGCATTAAGTGCGTTCAGAAAACACAACGGTTGTGTGAGCGCTCATCACCATTGGAGTATTCTATCAGATCTTTTAAGGTATTTTTTCATGCGTCGCTCATCGCTCGTTTTCAGCGATAAAAACATTCAAAATATAATAAAAAAAATTTTTAATCAATTTTTTTATTTAATAAAAGGTGTCAAAAGCCATTTCTATTTCTTCGTGGTCAAAGTGGTCTCTTCCCGTAAAGTCCAATTCATAAAGATTACTGTATGTAGCAACATACATATGGGCACTATCAAATTCTAGAGACTCTACATGCATTTCGGGATATTCCGCAATAGAATAGGCCTAAAAATTTTTAAAACATTTAATAATAATTTATTAATAAAGTACAAAATACAAAAAATTTGAAAATAATACAAACTTGAATGGCTTCACTCTTTCTTTGATCCCATAGAACTCCCGTATTATACCCCGTCATAAAAGTGTACCGATTATCTGATGAGCAACACAATGATCCGCCATGTTTGGAAGTATCCCATGTACGTACAAATTCGAATGTTCTGACTCACAGTAGCAAATATAAATAAATTGAATAGCTAAATAGTATTAACAATAATATTTATTACCTCATATCCATTTTTTTAATAGAATGTTTAAAACACATGAGAATAGTGTGAGGATCCTCCCATAGTAGATGTCGACATACATCATCATATTTTTTATTCATTACCTGACAACTAAAATTCCTTTACATTAGTTTGTTATATATTATTTTAAGTTTTAAATTAAGTTTATATGTATTATATTTTTGCAAATTCAGATTTTTTTAAATTTTTGGGTTATCAAATCGTCCTTGTAAGTTATAATTAGAAATGTTATTAAATCTGATCATATAATAGTGTCTGTATAAACATAAACAATGTTTAATCGAACATTTATAGAAACCGATTAATTAATTGAAACATTAATTGAAACTAACTTTTTATTAATATCAAAAATTAGAAACAACGATTTTTTATAGACAAATCTACTATCAATGGAACTAGCAACAAATTTTGTTCCTATGGGGTCAAAGGAGATTGCCATCACATTTAATTCGTTGACTCCACCAATTATTTCGTATTCTTCTGTACAACCATTTTTATCATCTGTATACTTCAGTATCTACAAAAATAAACTTTTACATACTACATTAACATAGCATTATTGCAATTATTCTTTAATCTTACCTTTATTGAATTTCTACAACCAATTATAATGTGTTGCGATGTTGCGTCTATTTGATTAATAGCGCGATATAACGTATGTAAATTATGTTTTTTTAAACGTTTCATATTATTTTTATTATACTCAATTTCCCAGCGGTTAATATTACCAAAACTGCAAAAATTTTTGTCAAAAATAAAAAAACAAACATAAAACATAGTTCATAAATAAATACTTACTTGTCGCCACTTATGATATAATTATCGCAATGAGCAATAGATTTAATACCACAGTTAAATCCCATAATCTTTTCATCGTTTCCAACAATGGTACCGTTCTTTGCGCGATTATAAGCATAAAGATCATTCCACACACACACACACACACACACAAACAAAATACCAAATCGTATTTGTAGTCATTTGTATGCATTTATCACGATAAAAACAATATGTCGCACTTTGCGGTTTAATGCTATTTATAATTCTTTGTTTATATCTTTTATGTATCCAGTTAAAATTTGTAATAAATTTAGAATTTTTTGCTAAAGATAATAGTGGTTTACATCTGTAAAAAAAAAATAAGACATGTGTTCAAATTAAATCAATTTTTGCATAAAACAAGATAGAAAGTTGTGACTTAACGTTAATATGTAAAAAAGTTTTATAGACAAATATTGTATTATATTTGAGAAAAAGTATTTTTGTTAAGAACACTTTTCTATTAACCAGTTGAATGGTAGACTTTTCCGAAAGATTTGTGCCAAAAGTGGTAAAAGCCAAAAATTAAAATAACAAAAACGGTGAAACATGGTTTCAAAGTTTTCGAAAAAACAACTTTTTCGGAATGGGTTTGGTTCCCCCCCCCCCCACACCCTGGGGGGCAGGGAGAGCAGAATAAAGATGGAAAATGTTAAATGGCACTATGGGTCGAGTGAGGATCATTTGAAAGGGCGTTTTAAAACAAGAATAATAATTTTTGAAAATTTTTACTACGACTTTCCAGTCAAAAATGGAGGTGGATCAAAAAGCTAGGGGTGGACTTCCGAAAAGCTATCACCTCCGATTTGGCTTATATTTAGCATAAACTTATTTTATCTAGTAAATAATATTCCTAAATGAATTTTTGGCGAAAATGCCCCCTCCGACCCCCGCCCCCCACAAAAGATCAAAAATAAAACTGTTTTTGTTAATTATTTCAGAAAGTATTCATTGTACGGAAAAAGATGTAAAACAAAAAATAAAGCTCATAAAAAGCTCTAAAAAAAAGGTCTTATACATATTTTACCTAACTCCAATATTTTAGTCGCTTTAACAATTAACAGTCGCCATATTCAATTTGCCATTTTGAATTTTGCAATTTTGACAACAGATTCGAATTCAGCAGCCCAAAAAACCCTAGGATATCAAGTTTTGTGCAAATCTGTTGAAAATTAGTAAAGTTATTTAAAAATGTACATATATGATACATTATCACGTTTGGCACTTTTTTTGTACATATATGATACATTACCACTCAACTGGTTAAAAATTTCAATTGGACAAATTTGGATTAAATCAGAAGTGATTAATAATGTTATTGCATCATCTCTGCCAACAAAAAACGGTATAATATAAGAAATCAGTTTGGCAGGCAACATGACGAAAAGAAAATTCTAGAACAGTGCTCGGAAATTAAGACCACTTTTTCCCAAGATCTATAGAGAGAAGGTTACCTCAGTAAAACCGGTTGATGACGAGGAGCGATGAAGGAAGGGGGGAGCTAGAAACAGCTTGATGGCGAGGGGCGATGAAGAAAGAGGAGAGCATGATGATCTCATCGACAAACAGTAGCTGTCTGAGATAGCTTCTGTTTGCCGATGAGATCATTATTGCCCCTCTTGCCGCTCGCCCCTCTCAGCATTTGCCCCTCTTGCCGCTCGTCCCTCTTCGATGAGATCATCATGCTCTCCCCTTCCTTTATCGCCCCGCGCAATCAAGCTGTTTCTAGCTCCCCCCTTACTTCATCGTCCCTCGCCTAATCGGTTTTACTGAGGTAACCTTCTCTCTATGGGCGGTATTCATAGTCCGTTCTTATATTCAAAATTGTCTTAAGCACGGACTTATATTCGCTCTCTTCGTCACACATAGATTGTACCTGACGAAGAG